GGAATTAATCCATTTGATTGAAGCTGATTTATAGGAAAGAGGACTTTTGTTTATTACACTGGGATGTTTTTTTGATGCATGGGTGATTTTTTTATGAGGATTTTTTGTCTATTATATTGGGATGTTTTTGCTACATGGGTGGATTTTTAGTGGAACACAACTAAGAGGGTTACTGCATGTTTCTGAAAATTGATATATATGCACATGCTGTTTTTGTTTTTAGGGAGCGCAGCACAATAATTTATTTATTTACCATTATATACACTATTATATGAGTTGGGTGTGAAGCGTTTGCGAACCACATATTGTTTTTATTTTTGGTTTACTTTATGTTTTTATTCATTTTTAAAAAATAGTATTTTGTTACACATTCTGAAGGTGAAAGTCACTATATTGGCTCACGAGTTTTTTTTTTTAAAAAAAAATTTTTTTACCAAACATGATATGCTTTAAAACTGCGCATGTCCCGTGCAATGACAACAAACTGTATACATTTTTAATATCCATAGGAAATGCTTTAAAAGCCTTTACAAGCTACCATTTTAGATTTACAGAGGAGGTCTAGTGCTAGAATTACTGCCCTTGATCTGATGTTCGTTGCAATACCTCACACGCATGGTGCAATCTGATGCTATCTGGGAGGGGCGCTTACTGACACTATCTGAAGTCGCCAGCGACACTAATACAGTGATTAGCAAAAAATCTGTACACTGTACTAATGACACTGGTGACAGGGCAGTGAAAGGGTTAATTGGGAGGGGGCGATCAAGGGGTTAAATGTGTCCTAGAGCGTTCTAACTGTAATTGTGTAGTGCTTGTACTTACTTTTGTGTTGGTTCTGCTCTCTGGGATGGAATGTGCTCAGAGAGAAGATTTCATCACTTCCTGTACCTGTGTAATTGTTTTTGCAGACAGGCAAGGTAAATTGCTATGCAAAATGGCAACCTGGAGGACTTCTGTACACAGATTGTGTACAGAACTCCCCCTGAAAGTATAATTTTCTGCTTGTGTGATTGGCTTACTGATTTTTTCAGAAGTCTGCATTAAGATACAAGGCAGATTTTAGGCATCCTCTACAACAAAAATGTCAATTTGGTGAGATACTCCCAAAAGAAAAAAAAAAGTTCACTAAAGTGATGCAGACCCTGCCACTTTCCTCATTGGAGCCCTGCAGGTGCAGTAGCTGATTGATAATTATAAAATGATTTCCATACAGTTTCGCTCAGCATACTGACACAAACCGCTATTTCTTCAGAATAACAAAAGGTAGGAATCCGCTATTATGCTATGAAGTTTTTTTAAAATCTCTGCAATGTACATAGGTCACCTAGAGGGGAATGATTTTTTTCTCATCAAATGTGGAGTTACTGTTTAAATATACCCAGTGAAGTGACTGGCCTCAGGTGATACACAGAGGTGAAACAAATCCTCCTACATACACTATATTGCCAAAAGTATTGGTCGGCCTGCCTTTACACACACATGAACTTAATGGCATCCCAGTCTTAGTCTGTAGGGTTCAGTATTGAGTTGGCCTACCCTTTACAGCTATAACAGCTTCAACTCTTCTGGGAAGGCTGTCCACAAGGTTTAGGAGTGTGTCTATGGGAATGTTTGACCATTCTTCCAGAAGAGCATTTGTGAGGTCAGGCACTGATGTCAGACGAGAAGGCCTAGCTCGCAGTCTCTGCTCCAGTTCATCCCAAAAAGTGTTCTAATGGGGTTGAGGTCAGGACTCTGTGCAGGCCAGTCAAGTTTCTCCACCCCAAACTTGCTCATCAATGGACCTTGCTTTGTGTATTGGTGCACAGTCATGTTGGAACAGAAAGGGGCCATATTGTCCAAAATTACTTGGTATGCTGACACCTTAATAGTTCCCTTCACTGGAACTAAGGGGCCAAGATCAACCCCTGAAAAACCACCCCACACCATAATCACCTCTCCACCAAACTTTACACTTGGCACAATGCAGTCAGGCAAGTACTGTTCTCCTGGCAACCGCCAAACACAGACACGTCCATCTGATTACTAGATAGAGAAGCGTGTTTTGTCACTCCAGAGAATATGTCTCCACTGCTCTAGAGTCCAGTGACAGCGTGCTTTACACCACTGCATCCAATGCTTTGCATTGCACTTGGTGATGTAAGGCTTGGATGCAGCTGCTTGGCCATGGAAACCCATTCCATGAAGTTCTCTACGCACTGTTGTACTAGCATGAAGGCCACATGAAGTTTGGAGGTCTTTAGCTATTGACTCTGCAGACAGTTGGCAACATCTCTGCCCTGGCGCTTCAGCATAAGCTGACCCAGCGCTGTCATTTTACGTGGTCTGCTACTTCGTGGCTGAGTTCCTGTTGTCCCAGTTGCTTTCACTTTGTTATAATACCACTAACAGTTGACTGTAGAGTATTTATTAGCAAGGAAATTTCACAGATGGACTTATTGCACAGGTGGCAATCTATCACGGTACCATGCTTGAATTCACTGAGCTCCTGAGAGCGACCCATTCTTGCACAAATGTTTGTAGAAACAGTCTGCATGCCTAGGTGCTTGATTTATACACCTGTGGCCATGGAGGTGACTGGAACATCTGTATCCAATTATTTGGTGGGGTGTCCCAATACTTTTGGCAATATAGTGAAAGTTGTATCTGTTTATTTGTAGCCATTTGTCCTGTATATCAATAATGCAACAATAAAAAGGATTTTTCACAGACTCAGAAAGTAGGGGGAGGGGAGCTGCAATTGCATATGGTACAAGAGCTCTGGAAGATAATTGGGGGAAGGGATCCCCCACGCAGGAACAGAGCTGAGGTTGTCAGTCATGTGCTGTGTTGCTGGAGTTCCCTTTCCTGTCACCTTTTAAGCTCTCGGTGTCAGGAAAACCTGTCAGACGTAACACATGCTGATAGCAGAGAAACTAGACAGCAGAGAGAAATGACACTTTGTGCTTTGGAGAAAGGCTATGTGCCTTGTTCAGATTTTGTCTCTGAGGTTAACAACCACTTTAATTTACAACCTACCTGAAAAGTGCAGGTTTGGTGCTAGCTGCTGCTATCAGAGAGAAAAAAACTTCCAGTAAGTAAGAAGACCAATAGCAAAGATATTTATTAGGAAACATAGTGGCCTTGTTTTATCAGTTGTTTTCCAATTGGAAGCAAACATAATAAACACCAAAAGGAACAGATATTACTTATCACATTAATACATAGTTATCAGTATGGTTTTATGCACATACATCCATCTCCTCGCCTTTCCCTTTTTTGTGTTTGTGGTAAAACAAAAGGTGTAGAAAGACATGAAAAGATCACTGATCTCGAATGTATAACTGTATTTTTAAAATGCATTAGCTCTTTTATTAAATCCAAGAAAACCAAGCAATTTTGCAAATATAACCACTTACACCTCTATCTCGTCTTTCCCTGTGCTTTAAGGGCCATCATCACACTGACCGTCTACACTGATATAGCTTGCTAGCCTTATGTTTCTTCTATAGCAGTTTATTTTTTATTTTTTTTTATCTAGAAAAGGATGATAAAAGACCTTACAGGACAGACACTAACCTTCTGTTATCAATTACCTGAGGTTATGACAGGTTGCATGGAAGGCTATGGGCTAGCAATAGTAAAATAATCTCTAGGAATCTCCACTGTAGCAAGAAAGAAACTTTATTACTCACCTCTCTGGTGGCCTGTGTGCCTACCTTCTCTCTGTTCCAGTGTTGCAGCCCTTCGCATTCCACATTTCGGGGTGCAGGATGCCCATGTCCTCCACTGTTCACCATGGTTTTTTTATCTTACAACCTCTTGAACCTGACCAATACAAAACCAACCAGTGACATAGAAGGACGGGGATGGAACTTTAGCACAGGAGGAGAACTCCCCATCAGTAATGAATGCTGTAGAGTGTTATGGAGGCTGCAGCACTGGAAGTGTTGAATGGTAGGAGACACAGGAAGGCAGTCAAAACTTTTGCTTGAATTTTTTGGTTAGCGTGGTAAGAGGTTAGTACCCCTGTCAGGTTTTTATTGCTATGTGCCACCACTGGGGAAAATCACCCAGAATTCAACATTTTTAATTGTCAGCCAGCAGGAAGAGGCAACAGACCAAGAAGGGATTAGGGTTAGGATAAGTGTGTTTGGGACAGGAAGTGAAGGACAATTTCTCCAATGGAACAGAGTGCAAAAAAAGTTACCACTATTATATTCGAACTAAAACATATACTAGAAGAGAGTACTGGGTGTCAATATGTCTTTTGGCAGCAATATTGATTTGTATAGGCTGCAGTAAGAGGTCTATTCTGATGAACTAGAAACTAGATTATAGGATCACATTGGAAACTGCTCCTGTTATAATCATGTTTACATTTTTAGAAACCAGAGGTCCATACAGTATTTATTATACTCTGACATTTGGCCAAACCTACTCAGCTTATCATTGCAGTGCAGCAACATTATAGATTTGCTTAGCTTTTTATCCATTTTCCAGCAATACAAAGAGATCAGGCTCTCTTAGTACAAAAAAACACATACATCATTTCCTAAGCTGTGAAAATGTACACTGAATACATCATCTAGAAAACCCCACTTTTTATGCAAATATTAACACATTGTAGCTTGTTTAATATAGGAGTAAAGCATATTCATTGAGCATAGTGAATACTGACTGGGAAGCTGTGCTGACTTCTATCATTCAATTTTGTGCCTAACTGGGTATTTTTTTGCAAAGTGAATTTTCAGAGCATTCACTAAGGAAATTTTAAATTCATTTTGCAAATTTACTCTACTCCTTCAATAAATTAGCTATAATACTTACATAAAAATCTTGTTAAAATATCACTATTTCAGTATAATTAAAGAACTGTCCTGCTTTGCACAATGCCATGTAGTAGGTTTTCAGAGTGTTTAAAAATACATTAACCACTTTGTCCAAGTGTAATACATATAAAAAGGATCTTTGGATAGAACATGAGCAGAAAACAATATTGCAAATTTCCCTGAATATCATCGCTGTAATAAAAAGTTGGTAGCCAAGTTGACATCATTGTTTGATGCCCTTAGTGCAGTTAAGACATCATCTCTGGAGAATCCCATCTCCATCAGTTGTGCAACCTGCAATAGTAAGAAGACATCTGATCAGCCCTTTGCAATTGTACGTTTATTTATTCAGAATACATTCTAAACACTCTCTTAAGTGATTCTAAAGGTTTTTTCTTTTTTTTTGTAAAACAACATGTCTACACTTACCAACTGTGTGCAGTGGTTTTGCACAGAACAGCCCAGATCTTCCTTTTCTCTGGTCTCTCCACACAGGCTCTCCTAGCTACTCCTTTCTGTCGGGTGCCCCCACAGCAAGCAGCTTACTATGTGGGCAACTGCTGCTCCATGTGTCCATTCTCACACGGAGCCGTGGATTGGCCCCACCCTCTCTCTCCCCTCATTGGCTGACTGGCTGTGATTGACAGCAGCGGGAGCCAATGGCTCCTGCTTGCTGCCTCAGCCAATGAGGAGGCAGAGACCCAGGACAGCTGAGGCTGTTGTGCACATCGCTGGATCTCGATGGGGCTCATGTAAGTATTGAGGGGGCTGGGGGCACTGCTGCACACAAAAGGTTCTTTACCTTCATGTATAGAATGCAGGAAAGTAAAAAACCTTGACCCTTTACAACCACCTGAACACTCTCCAGGCATACAAGACTCAAAGCTAAGGCAGGCCATAGACGGGCCGTTTATCAGCAGAATTTTTGGCCGATAAACAAAAAAAATCGGTCGGCCCCGTTGCCGATGCTGCCACCAATGTCCACAAAAACGGCCATTTTTTGCAGATTTTCCAGCATGACCAATAAAACGAAACAAGACGATCTGTGAAAAACGACCGATGGGCTGGCCCCACTAACAGCGTGAATATCGGCCGATTTTTCGTGCGGACAAAAAAAATCAGCCGATAAACAACCCGTCTATGGCCTGCATAAGATTTCTCCATTCAACATCTGGAACATAATATGAAAGATCCTAGACACAGAAGATTAGGTAATTAATAATGTATTGTTCTTCCCAGTAATTGTCAGCTGGCATACTGTTCTTAAAGAGATCTCTTAAATAAATAACTAAATAAAAAGGTACCTGAAAGTGTGCTCAAATTACACCACACCAACAATTTTTACAGGTAAATGTACAAGTGAGCAGTACACTGCAAAAATTCTGCATTAAAGTTTATCTAAACCTAATCACTGCAATCTTATATAAGCTGACTCCTGATTGTGCTTCTGCATTGTCACTATATCACACGTACCCCTGGTGGGCTAATGATAGAGATGACTGTGGACCATGCCTGCATACTTTAACTAGCAACATTTTGAACTTTGTTTCTATGCCAACTTTTCTTTTTGTTTCAGATAGTGGGAGACATTGGAACCTCTCTCTGACTTTTATTGCTTCTGTTTCCACACGGGACAGTTCACCTCACTTCCTGACAGGAGGCTAAAAGCTTCAGGGACTGCCTAAAGGTGGACAGAGTAGGAGATAGCCAGACTGATTAGAGTAAGAGGTTCCAGAGGAAGGGAGAGACTAGAGAAATCCTGGAGGCGAGCATGGGAGGAGGTGATGAAGTAACTAAGGAACAGGAGCTCTTAAGAGGAGTGAGGATGGTTTGGGTAATATTTTAAGACAGGGTGGTGATGTAGCTTGGGGCAGAGTTGTGGATTACTTTGTATGTTGCTATTAGTACTGTGAATTTCATTTGTTGGGAGAGTGGAATCCAGTGGAGGAATTGGCAGAGAGTGGTGGCAGACACTGAGCGGTTGTTATTAGTCTGGCAGCAACATTTATGATGGACTGAAGGGGGAATATTAGTAAAGACCCTATACTAGGTGCCTAGTGTAGCCCAGAAGAACCCACCCCGGGGGTAGGCCTTTCATGTGACCCTTGCTTGGCGCTCAATGAGGGGAAGCATAGAGGATGTGACAAACAACCACCACTACTACCCCTTACAAGCACACTGTATCTGTATATCCTGTGTTTATAAGGTTTATTTTTTTTTCTTTTGCTGTTTTAAGTGTCTTTCTTATAAGCTCCCTCAGTAACAATATGCAAAAACAGTAACAGGTCCTTTTTTTTTTTTTTTTTTTTTTTAATGGAAAAATCATAGGTCTCTACAGTTCACAAGAGATTGTGGAAATGCTCCTAAACAGAGATTAAATGATTGCAGAAGTGACTAAATGGCCATGCAGTCACCAGGACCACTTGTACGGTCAACACAGAGATCATGAATTTACACAACTGCATTCAGGACATTATATTACTGTCATTGGTTCCCTAAAGTGCGTACAGATGTATGTAATGAGATCAGAAGGTAAATGTGTTATCACATGAAAGGGCCTTCTGTCCTGTTAAAAGAAGACATAATTTGTTAGGCTACAAAACCATTTCATCCAAAAACTGAAATAATCTTTTTTTATTATTATTATTATTATTATTATTATTATTTATTAGGGCTCGTTGACACCAATAGATGCAAAAACCATGCAGATTTCACTTGCAGAGACACAAGTTTACATCAGTTTTCATGCGCGTTTTAGTCGGTTTAATACACGTTGACACCAGTTTTTATGCATGTCTTTTATGCACAGACTGACATCACATCCTGTGTTATCACCCTCTTATCAGAGACCCCATCATAAGTACCCCCCTCATTAGTGATTCCCACATCAGAGACTCCTCAGGTTCCCCTTCTCATAGACTCCCCCATCAGAGACCCCCTCACATCAGAAACTCCTCATCAGAGCCTTCACATTAGTTTCTCTCATTAGAGAATCCTCATCAGGGACCCCCACCATTGGTGCCCTCTCATCTGATCCCCTGCAATCGGTGTCCTCTCCTCTGTCCCCCATTATTGGTGTCATCAACATCACCAGATTTGCTGAAATTGATCACCCAGCCAAAGGCCTTTAGCATCTGAATTGTCTTTTGGACATTTTCTGCTCAATGAGAGATAAGTTCTTCAAAAGTAGATCATACAGATAGCTTGCATCTTAGATACCCTGAGTTCTCAGAAAGGCAAACAGAAGTGCTATGACCTGTGTGAACACTTTGGGGGCAGAGGATAGGTCAAAGGGCAGTGTGACAAATGGAAGCACGGAAAGTGCTGATGAAGTAGAGAAATAGGAACATGCAAATAAGCATATTGAATGTCCATGAATACCATCTTTTCCCCTTGTCTCAGAGTGGCAATTACTGATCTTGCAGATTCCATGTAAACACTTGGAATTTAAAGTATTTATTTTGAGGGATTTTTCACTTTTTCATTTCGGTTAAAAAAGGTTTCTTGTGTAAATTATTTAATCTGCGTGAAAGTTACAGAGTCTACAAACTACGGTATACAGTATATATTTAAACATTGTCCAATCCTGATGTACTGACCGCCTATCTTTTCTTGAGGCCCTAAAATGCCAGTACAGTACAAATACCCCCAAAATGACCCTTTTTCATAGCTTAGCCACATAAGATAGGCCCAAAATCCAAGGAGCACCTTCAGGCTTTCTAGGGGCATAAATTACGCATCTAATTTCCTGACTACTTATCATTTGTTTGGAGGCCCTGGAGCATTAGGATAGTGAAAACAATTGGGGACACTTGTTCTGCTGAAGTTGGCACTAGAATGGCAGTGATCAGGACACTGATATGTCACAGTGATCAGCACACTGGTATGGTGGTGATAATCAGGACATTGGCATGGCAGTGACCTGGAGGAGGAGCCATATCACGCCACCGGAGCAACGTGGAGCTCTGGTGGCCATCTTTGATTACCATATGGTTAGTCCCCTGCACAGGGAACATCAGCCTATATTTTAATGCTTATTTGGATGCATCTGTTTTAACTCTTTCGGCTCTGATGTGCCTCATTAAAATTATTTAACCTTACTACACTATGGACATTCCTTTGTTCTAACCCCCTGGGGGGAGTTTTCCATTCCCAGATCATATCACCTCAGGATGGACCCCCGCACTTATTAAGGGAACACCACCCAGGGAGCATTACCAGCCTCATCCCTTAAAAGGGAACCCTGACGAACGATGATCATCCATATTAACCCACATGGATCCTGTCTGATGACCTACCACATTTTATATGCGCGTCTGGTGAATGCGCATTATCTACTACATTACCGCATGGACACCGGCTTTATTTATCACAGGAGCACAAGAGTCACTTTATGAACTGTCTTCTATTTAGTTATGATTTTTATCTATTTATGATTTTTATATCGATACTATTCATATTTAGTGGATTTTACATATTTATGAATTTATCTAGTCTTTAACGCTGCACCTTTGTTTACATTACTTTACAGATATGGCGTATGGTGATGATCAAGACACTAGTACGCGGTTTGGTGGTGTTCATGATACTAGTGTGGTGGTGATCAGGACTCTGGTATGGCGTATAGCAGTCTGGCATCACAGCAATCAGGGACACTGGCTGGCAGCAATGGTCTGGTGAAACCGACTGGTGTACTAATAAGGTACACTGTTCTGGCAGCACTGGTGACACTGGGACAGATGTGACAGGCTGCACTATTTACACTACACTGGGAGCTAGTGATCAGGGACAGTGGGCTGGCCAGCACATGTGTTCGTGTGCATAAAGTGTGCAGGCTGATAAAACTCACAGGTTGCTGACACAGATTAATTTCCTCTCACAGATGAGGTCTGTGGGAGGAGAGAGAACTGATCTTTACTTTCGCCTGCACTGGATCCAGTCTGAAAGAACATACCAGGATGTCCTCACAGGCGGTCTTGGTATGGCTTCCAAGGTTTTACTGAGGTTGCATTGATCAGCACTGGCAGCTATAATGGTGCTGATCAAGCGGGGAAAACTGAACAGGGTGGTTGTGCAGGAGTAGAACCACTTTGCCCATACATGGATTGAAATTCGGCCAATCCCCACTGAACTTGTACGGCTCCATGTATGGCTGGCTTAAGACAAAAAGTATTTATAACTATAAAGGTATCTCTTTAAAATATATAATATGCAAACAAAGCAGTCACTATCAAAGTTTCCTGTGACAATAAAAGTCACCAAAAATAAGCCAACGCTAACTATATCCAAAAAATGTGATACTTTCTATTGTTAACCCCCTTTATGCCTAGTGGGAGCCAATGATTTAAATGGGCTGACAACCAAAACCAGTAGCAGGGGCTCGTGATTATGTGGCATTGTGTTGCTGTCATTGGGAGCCACCTTACAGACTCCTGATCATCAGTAGTTGACCATAAGCTCTCTGGGCATTAAGGCTCACCTGCCCTGCTACTACCTACAGTATATGTGGATTGTTTTTGTCAAAGGGTTAAAGAGAATCTGTTATAAAAATAAAACAAAAGAAAACGACTCTGCCCACAAAAAAAAGGGTAAACTATATGGATGAGATTGTGTAGACCGAACCAACTTCATTAATTATTGGGCGTGTGCTCACCCTGGTGGGGAGGGGCTCTTTTTCTTGCAGGTCCCAACTTCCACTTCCGCTGGAATTGCCTAGGCAATTCCACTAGAAGTTCACCCTGCCCCCCTGCTACCAGCAACCTCCAGGGACACGTCACAGGTCCCAGGAGGCTACATGTCCATTCACAAAGCACAGTGCGATTCATGCATGCCCAGTCGACCTGGGTGAGGACAGCGCAGGATCCCTGGACAGGAAGTGTCCTTTTCTTAAAATTCAGCAGCTATGATATTTTTAGATGCAGAGTTTTATTTAATTTTTTTTATTCGGACTGAAGAACCGCTTTAGGTTTTTCTGCATGTAAAACAATTACAGTATATGTCAAATCTATCTAGTTTAACAAAAAGGTAGCTATTTCACTAGTTTCTTTTTGTTGGGTTAAGACACTTTATTCTGACTCTGACTGGGGCTGCCTTTGAAGCTGGAGCAGGGGAGGAAAAAATGTTACATTACTAAAAACTTGCAAGAAGAAAATGAAGTCTAATAAATCTGGGGATTTCCATACTGTCAGGGGACGTTATATTCCATGGTGTAGTTGATCATGACAGTATCAACTGCTTTGCATTAAAGGGGGTTTACTTGAAAGAGTGTCTGTGAGTTGAAGCTGCAACAGTTTTAAAATTGCATTGGGAATTTACAACACAGTTATCACCTGTTTCTATCTCAAATAATAATTTGCCAAGCAGTTTCTTTATAAGCAAAAACCAAGACATTTGTGGGTCAGATATTTTTCAGCATTGTTCTTAAACAAACAATTGACTCTTTTCGCTCTCTTTTTAGTTAACGTGTACAGTAAAACTGAAATACTGTATATAATAGACATTACTCTAGAATAATATTCTCAAGGAATAATAATTTTCTACTACTGATATCACCTGGATAACAGGTAAAATTTACATTGAAGCCTGAAACTATTGCCATTATATCAACCAGTTATGTTACTTGCTCTTCCAATACCCCGACATAAAGGGGACAGCTGAGAAACTAGTATATTATTTCAGGTTGACAAACTGATTACTTCCAAAAAAGTACATTTATATTATTCTTCAAGAAGTGTGGCTACAAATCCGATTTAACAACAGCAGTGCTGTGTTACAAAAATCCTCTAGAGAAAGATATGTTTGTTAGAAAACTTAATGTAGATTTTTTTGTTAAAGGACACTTATGCAATCCTGCAGTTTAAATAAGGTCTTACCTGTTCCTCAGGAGCTGGAGGAGGAGGTGGTGCCTGTGGTTCTGCTTGATTTACCACCTGTCGTTGCCGTAATGGTGGAAATAAACGATTCCAAACAAACATTCCTCCCTATATTAACAAAAACACCATGTTTATGAATAAGTAATGTGTTAGACCCAAAAGGTCAATTACTCTGGACCATTGCTTTATAATACACCAAAGAAGAAATGCTGGACACACAAAAAAAGAATTTTTTCCGCTTTTCTGTGGCTATAGACACACACAGCCTGGCTCGAGAGTGAGCCTGCAGGTGAACTGCAATAGGAAGCGGCTTCTTATGGTGGGACACTGAAAAGAGCAGTAGAGAGCGCCAGATCTGAAAGCAACGTAGAGTTTCAGCTTCTATCAATTCGCCCTAGTAAGCTTGTACCCACATACTGACTATGTAAGTAATAAAGATTTAAGTTAGCCATCATGGTTCATGTTAGTGGACATAGGCACTCAGACAAGAAGAATCTATGTTGCACATTTTAGTTTTGCCTGTCTTCTTACAAAAATACAAATCTAGCAACATTTGAAAAAAAAAAAAAAAAGCTTTAGGACCTGTTTATCTCTGAATCGCACACCACTGCAGTCTGCATTCCTGTGCAACTCAGTGTGTTATGGTGCGATTTTCAGCTGATTGATTTGACTGGGTTGAAATTGCATTGGATCACTCCAAAAGTAGTACATATTTTACTTTTTAAAAACGCACTACACCTGTTTGCATGGTACTACTGTACCATGCGATCTGATGCAGGCAAATGCACTGGGTTTGTGATCTGCATTTGGGGTGCCATTAGGATTATAATGCCACCCGCAGTAGATCACACAACCAATTAATTTTGAATACAGTACAGGAAACCGTGAACATGGGTTTCCCACATCGTATTCTGGTGTGAATGAGTCGTTACTTTATGTACTTTATAGGGTGCTGCAGCAAAAGCACACAAGTGCGAATGTCAGCACAGGAAGCTGCAGGCACCAAGTTTCATGTATATCCATGTATTACCCAATTCTAACCCCAAACCATCCTTATACGCTCTAGAACATTCCCCAGCATTCACTGTTTTATATTTTTTTTTTCCTGCAGAAATAAACAACTTTTATTTCTACCTTTGACATCATAAGACTTTTGCAAATCTTGCATGGAGAGCTGCTTGGAGGTTAGTATCTAAGGACACAAACAGCCCCCAGAACTGCATCTCTCAAGAGCCCTTTCCCTACACACTATGCAAGGTAGTAGCAGTTTAAAGTGAAAATCTTGTTTGTTTGCTTTTTCTTAAAAATAACATAACAAACATGTCTATACTTACCTGCTCTGCGCAGTGGTTTTGCACAGAGCAGCCAGATCCATCTCTTCTCTGGTCCCCCGCTGGAGCTCCTGGCCCCTCCCCTTGTCAGGTTCCCCCACAGCAAACAGTTTGCTATGGGGAATCCTGAGCTCTCGCTCTCGTGCCGCGGCTCTGCGTATCCATTCACACACACAGAACCACAGCTTGGCCCTCCCCATGGCTCCTGATTAGCTCACTGGCTGTGACTGACAAATAATGGCTCCTGCTGTTGTCTCAGCCAATCAGGAATGAGAGTCCCTGGAGAACCAAGGCTCTCGTGGACATCACTGGATCAAGAGTGGGCTCAGGTAAGTACATGAAGGTAAAAAAGACTTTAGAACCAATTTAAAGCTTGTAAAGAAATCATTGTATGTATGTGGAGTAGGAGTAGGATGGAAAAGGATGGGGATAAGCGGGGTCCTGTAGTTCACCAGGTAGTGCCAACTGACTGGATTTCTGGAAAATTAATGTGTTTTTTCTTTACTTGCAGCAGCATTTAAAAATATAAAATGAACGTGAAATGTGCTGGAGAGTTGTCCATTTATACTGAATATTTTTTTTCGCCATGATCCTTTAAGTATGTCTTTACCATTATGGGGATAGCACAAAAAACAAGCCTATTATGAGCAACATCCAAATAAATTTTCTCTCATTGCATTTCTTTTTTTTTTTTACTTACAGTGTAGCAAAAACAGATAAATACACAACTAAAGAAGCGGAGTTCATGAACTCTTATCTTCTACTTAATAAAAATTGAGCAAACCTGTGGCCTTTTGCACCAATATTTTGCAGTATGACATATCATCATGTCTTAATTTAAAACTCCACTTCAAAAGGGCTTCATTTGCCTTACAAATCATATAAAATATTACGGTACTTTTTTAAAGATGTATCAGTGGTTTAAATTATCTTCATCCTAAGCAACCTTTATCTACAAAGAAACACCACTATCCAGTAGCAGAAGATAAACGCAATTACTAATGCATCTAGTTCCAGACACTTCCTGCGGGGAAAAGGTGTCATGAAAGATAAAACAAAACAGATACCAAAATCTACACCAATCTAAACAGTCATGATATACCCGATGCTTTAGATTTTACAGAAGTATTCAAAATTGAAGCAACATTGTTATCTGAAATCATTTGTAACTAGTATATAAATTTGCCATTCTATATGGAAAACTGCTGTATTCTCTTTGTTAATTAAGTGCAGACCCAGTGCCAGTTTATAATTCACCCTGAAACAGAAATTAGCACGGATGGCACGGATAAATGTGAAATAGGACTATCTGCTTCCCTAATGTGATGCACAACACAAACGCTAGTTTCATGCATCATTATGACGCAGGAAAAATTGTTAATTGCCCCTATTTTGTCTGATGATGTCATGAATATTACTTTTCTTATTACAGCAATAATATATCATGGTTAGTCTTACAGGGTGAAAATGTTGAGACAATACCATTTCTTCTCCACACCCACAGTCTATTTCTTCAGGAGGGCAAAATCAGGAGAATCTATTCCACAATGAGAATTATACAGTATATATTTGTATTGTTCAAATAATTATCAAAATTGCTAACATGATATCTCTGTATATTCAAATATGCATTTAAATACTGTATGCAGTATCAGAGGATTTACAAACCCAGTTAAAATCGTGCATCAATTTCCCAGCGTACTAGTCTCAACCGTGTATATTAACCACTTCCATACCGGGCACTTTTACCCCCTTCCTGCCCAGGCCATTTTTCAGGTTTCAGCGCTCTCACACTTTGATTGACAATTGCGCGGTCATACAACATTGTACCCAAACTAAAATTTTATCATTTTCTTCACACAACTAGAGCTTTCTTTTGGTGGTATTTAATCACCGCCGGGGTTTTTATTTTTTGCTAAATTAGCAAAAAAAAAAAACCAAAAATTTGAAAAAAAACCCCACATTTTTCTTTGTTTCTGTTATAAAAGTTTACAAATAAATAATTGTTCTTCATAAATTTAGGCCAAGATGTATTCTGCTACATGTCTTTGGTGAAAATAACCAGAATTAGGATGTATTTTTTAGTTTGTAGGAAAGTTATAGAGTTCACAAACTATGGTATAGATCTGAATATTGATCAATCCTGAAGTACTGACAGCCAATCTAATTTCTTGAAGAATGTCAGAATAGTACAGATATCCCCCAAATGACCACTTTTTGCAAAGTAGACAGTCCGACGTACTTTATAAGAGGAATGGCAAGTTTTTTGAAGTTGTATTTTTGTCATAATTTTTCAGAAAATTAAAAAATTAAAAAAATTATTTTCACAATTTTTTTTTACATACTGTCACCAGTGCAGTACAGCATCATCATATAACTGGCATGGCGGTGATCAGGGACACTTACTGGTGACAGTATGAAAAAAAAAAAAAAAAAAAATATATATATATATATATATATATATATATATTTTTTTTTTTTTTTTATTACATTTTTTTTAGGATTTTTTTTTTCATATGACCAAAGTAGTACAATGTTACCATAGTAACAGTGTACTACTTTGAGGAAGTGATCAGTATTTTTTTTTTTTTTTTTCTCTTTTTACACAATTTGCTTATAGCAAAGAATTACTTTGCTATAAGCAAGCATTTACCTCAATGACATCGATTCATTCAGGGTTTTTTTTTTTTTTTTTTTTGGCCACAGCTAATCACATGACATGTGCATGTGATCGCGGTGACCATTTACAGCTAGACACTAGTATACAATGGATGGCATGAATGAAGGGGGCCGGTAATCAGATCTTTCATTGGCCGTTTCCGAGGTACACGGCCGGTGACAGATCGCGCCGCTGCACGGCTCTGCAAGCGCACAAACTGCGCATGCCCAGGAGTACGCCATATGGCATCCATCCGGAAATCTAAAGCATTTTTCCGGCCGCCAAACGGCTATTGGCCGGGCGGCTAATGGTTAAAGATTATATCTGAGGAAGTAGATTGGCCGGACTCCTTGCTCCACATCCCAGGTAGAGAGTTGTAAATACATGCCTACCATGTATAAAGTCTCGCAGAGTTGCCAATAGTCACTGAAGGTGGAGGACAAACAAATATTATAAAAATGTAGTTAAGAAGTAGTACCACAAACTTGTCCTACAAAAAAGGAAACTCACCCTATTAAATCAGACTGGCCATCAAAAATGACCCCGCATCTGTGAGCAGCACCACAAACGTACAATCCTCAAGTGCTGCCCTCCATCTGTCCCCCGCCATGTACTGTCCAAAGTGTATCATACCTGCGGGACTGTATCCAAAGTGTATGATACCTGTGGAAACCCCCCTTATATATGACAAGATGGTGACATGAGTGCAGCACATACGCCGTTAAGCCATTATTTATACACATTGACTATATAAATTTACAAAGATATCAAATGCTAACAAGTTAGATAATTTTTCGAACAACACTTAAATCATACTAACTGTACATTAGATCTTCCTGTTTTTGTTCCCCTGAAGTAGACGATGAGTCTGAGAAATGCATACAGAAGTAAATAAATTTTATTTGCCGTACTATCAATCCTACTGCTATACGTGATTGTTAGTTATTTAATTGTCAAATAAAATTTTATTCATTTTTATATTTTCATAGTCCAAACTTTCACACAATTTTATTGTAATTAATATCTACAAAGGGAATTAATTCAAGAAATAATTAATTAGGTCAGTGTATTTAATCATTTATTTCATATTGGAGGCACTGTCCTATAGCGATTGATTG